TATATATATATCTCCATATATATCTATATCTATAGATATATAGATGGATAGATAGATATAGATATAGATATAGATATAGATATAGATCTCTCCTTAGGAAGGCTCTCATGAAATCAAGTCTACATGTGTTGACATTATATCATTTCTTATAATATACCCTTAACATTCTCTTTACATGTTTTCCTACTTCTGCAAAAATCTTTAATTCAATGCTTTTCACACTTTGAGAGCTTGAGATTCTCTGCATTTTGAATAAGATTGCAATGATGCCAAGATGCTGGGCCATGGATGACACTGAGTAGCCAAGCTCTAGATAACATCTTCATGCCTGACAGTCATATGGCCCCTGTACTCATTTGCATAGCCCCTGCACCAGGCTCGACCCAGACCTTGTTTACCACGTATGTCTCTGTACTCCAAGTTGTATGAAGTCATTTTCCTAGGTTCAGGAAGTGCACCAACTCAGAAATCGCCAAATTGTCTGGTGTTGGATGTACTACAGACTGCAGGAAGGAGGTATTTTAGAAAGAAGCAGGGGGAAATGTGTATACACACACACACACAAATAAAAAAAGCTCATATCATACAAAATGTGAATGTGGGTGGATACTCAGGGTAATATTATGGTGTGTTTCCTCAAACATTTGAAGGGACCCTGAACACGGTAACAGCAAACTCAGGCACCTGCGATGAGAATGTGCTGATTCAGTTTTAAAGGAATAAAAGGACCTAGCAGCTTTTGCCATTTCTGTCTGTTGGTGTTGTAGTCTAAGGGTGCGATCTGAATGAGGAACAAAATGTGAGGTTAAACCCTGCCAAACCTTCTTATTCCCTGTGATTTCCTTGGCTCTGAATAGGAAAGCAATTTCTGGGTAATTTCTTGCTGACCACCAGGAGGCAGTATGGTGCCACTGATAACCTAAAACTGGAGAATTTCCTTAATACTCTCTGAAAAATGGATATGGAGGGATTCCTGGGCTCAATTTCCATACTAAGATGTAGATTGTTTATAAACATGTCATCCGCCTGTAATATTAGTAGCTAATAATCTCAACAGGTTTGCAAGTGAAATTTTACCAGAAGCTGTTCATGTGTGGAGGAAGCTCTGAGCTGCCTCATAGAAGGTGGGAGAAGCTGGGATAGGTGAGGAGGCCAGGAGAACACAGGAGCAACTAATCAGGGAACATTTGTCTCCAATAAGCAGCGAATGGTACTGAGGATAAATGTTCCCTTCCTACCCAATCCCAGGCTTCCCTGCCAACTAGGAAACTGTATTATATTTCAGTGAGCAGAGAGCCTTGCCCTGCTGAAGTCACAGCAGATCTTCCTATCAGGACCCAGGACTCTCAGAGCTCCTCCTCTCAAACCAGGGATCACAACCTGGAACAGACAGATGCCTTGTTCCTGTTCTGGCCCTGCCATGGGTCCTGGGCTTCTCCACTGCATAACCCTGTGTCTCCTTGTAGCAAGTGAGTCCTGAGCAGAAAGGAAATCTTTGGCTAAGGATATCTTCTGCTCAGCTCTCTGTCCTTCATTTCATGGTCTCCTCCTTAACTCACTCCACCTTTTTCTTTCTGTGCAGGTCCTGTGAGTGCTATGGTCATGCAGAACCCAAGATACCAGATTACCAGGGTGGGGAAGCCAGTGACACTGAATTGTTCTCAGACTCTGAATCATGATACCATGTACTGGTACCAACAGAAACCAAGCCACGCACCAAAGCTGTTGCTCTACTACTACGATGATCAATTGAATAAGCAAACAGACACTTCAGATAACTTCCAAGCTAGCCGGCCTAAAACTTCTTTGTGTTCCCTTGACGTCCGCTCAGCTGGCCTGGAGGACTCAGCAGTGTACCTGTGTGCCAGCAGCAGAGACACAGAGGCACAGGGTTACCTCCCCTCTACTCAGAAACCTCTTTGTTTCCCAGATCCGGGTGCTTTCTCCAGAACCACCTCTTCCCTCCCACAACAATAGGAAGTGGGTTTGTGGCTTTCTTTTTCTCATTGTGGACAGAGTTAGGCAAAAACCTGCACAAAACATTGACAGTTATGTCACGTGTAGAAAAGCAGGGACATGTGCGTTCCTGTTGGTGATCTTTTCCCAGGATCCTCTTGATAGCCCTCTGTCTCCTGTGGTAGATGGACAGAAGTTCACTCCCTTCCTTCCTTCTTCCTCCCAACTCCGCCCCCCCAAAACAGAGACAAAATTCATGAACACTCAAATCTGGCATTCAGTGAACTCTTATAGTGTTTAACATTCCATAAGAAACCACGTGTTTTCATCCAGACCTGGAGGAACTACCTCGCTAATGCCCCAAGTTGAAAAATCTCTTAGGAGAAAATCCATCTTTAAAAAAAAACAACAAATCATGCCTTCATTTACTCATATCTAGAGTGGGACATGCCGTGGCCAAATGGAAGCCACAGTAGATAAAGGAAAGTAAGAACATTGGTGATGGTGATCATGGAGTCACCTGGGTAGAAAAGGGTAATAATGCTAATGAGGCACAGGGGCACTCCTGCAATGTCAATAAGCAGATCCTCAGGGGTGGGGAAGATGGGGGGCCTGCATCCCTGGCACCACAGGCTGAAGAAGGGCTGAGCACGAAGCACTGCTGGCTGTGAGTTGTCACACGGGAGTACATACTTACATATTGCTGTATAACTGTATCCCTCAGTAAGAAGGGCGTTCCAACAAAAAGCAGGAAATATACAGTGATGAGGTTTTCTAAAAATATAAAATTTTCACATTAAAGATAATTTAGGAAAAATATGACAAGGTCTATTACAAAAATTCTTTTATAAATTGTTTGCTTTAATGATATTAATGATGTTAATAATAACTAGCATTTTCTAAGCACTTACTATACACTAGACTTTCAAATTTCTTCACTTATATAGTTCATGTAAAGTTTACAACAAGTCCCTGAGGTAAGAACTATCACAGTCTCATCCATTTTACAGATGAGAAAACTGAGACACAGGCAAGCAATATGCCTTTTCTCAATTATTTTGCTTGTGACCAAGACAGCATCAAAATGCAGATAGTTACTGCAAGGAGTAGTGAGTAGAGGAACAGGGGTAGAGAGAAACTGTGGCCCTGGACTAGGAGGTGGGAGAAGGGTGCACTGCTCTTGACCACCCCACCGGGATTACAGCTTCTGTCACCCTGAGCTTCAGGGTGCTGAGGAGGGACTGGGTCCTGGCTCAAAGGCCACAGACCCCCTATCCTGCCTCACTACTTTTACTGAGATTTAGATTTTCCTGAATAAATGTTTCTTTATTTGCTGGATGTCTTTAGCACAATTATCAGAGACCTCTAGTAGTAGTTTTTAAATTTTCAGCAGTGACTTTTTTTTTCCCCCTCTGGGAAGAGCATATGCAAAGCTCTTTACATTGGCATTCTGGAAATATTTCCCCTGGCTCCATAAAACTGTTTGCAGAAGCAGGTGGCAGGTGACCAGCCTGTGGGTGCAGTTTGCCAACTCCTGTTTCAGCCTAATTGTGTCCCTCTCTGAAAGCATGCCCTTCTGCGGATGCTGGGGAGTCCTTATGAGGTCCTAATCTAATGCCTCCTAGAGTCTCACCCCACACATAGATTGCTGCTGTTTAGTGGGAAATGTAAGCCGATCCCTGGGAAGATACTGGGTTCTCTGAGTAGTTTCCTCCTCTCTGGCAGTCTTCCTCACAAATTCTAGCCACCTACCTGTCTAATCTTTCAAACTCTGTCCTACAACTCAGAATTGGTTGTACTGTTTCTCCCCTCCCTCTGAATAGACATTGCCACATATTTTTTCTTGCTTTAGCAGAATTGCTGTCCTGTGTTGCCTGTTTTCCAATGAAAGAATATGGTTGTTGCATATATTCTGCCTAATTTGGTTACTTGTACAGAGCAGAACAGAGACCATTGGATTCTACCAGGTGATGACGTCACAGATAAGCTGCAATTAGTGTCAGAGCGAGTCTCAGAGAAAGCCTCCCGCCTCTGCTCTTTCCCAGATACCATGTGTACGATACGCACCTGCTTCATGGTCCTTTGTCTCCTGTCTGCAGGCAAGTCCCTTTGGGAAACCCTGGTCCCTGCTCTCAGCCTTTCCTCCATGTTGTCAGACTCCCTGCTGGCCTCAGCCTCCAACTCCTGTCTGCTTTCTCTACAGGCTCTCTTGGTCAAGAAGTGACTCAGACTCCAAGGCATCTGATCAAAGGGAAAGGACAGAGAGTAAAAATGTTTTGTGTTCCAATAAAAGGACACAACTACCTTTTCTGGTACCAACAGATCCTGGCAAAACAGTTCAAGTTCTTGGTTTCTTTCCAGTTTAATAAGGTCTCTGATCAATCAGGGATGCCCAAGGAAAGATTTTCAGCTGAGTGCTCTCAAAACTCATCCTGCAGCCTGGAGATCCAGCCTATGGAGCTGCAGGATTCAGCTACATACCTGTGTGCCAGCAGTGAATCCACACTGTGAAATATTCGCTGATCTCCGTGCACAAACCCACCCCAGGCCCAGCTCAGGAAGCAGGTGGCATGAGGTTTGCAGAAAATAACAGAAACTAATTAGAGACAGCTCAAGGCAAAGGGGAATTTACTCTAAGGCTAAATATGTGTCCCATAGAACTCCCCAAAAAGAACACAGGGATTTCTCAGAAGCAAATTGGAACAAAGTTTTGGAACCATGACATGGTTGACTTGACAACTCTTATTTCTTTTTTCCGCCTTGTTGACCGCATTATTCTTTTTTGCCATAAATTGTCATTTCCATTTCTCAGATCTGGAAGTGATGAGAAGGTTATAGATTCAGATGTCAGCCCTCCAGCCTTGTTGAGAAGGACCAGCTTGACTTTCTGTCATGCTAGATTATAAATCCAGAACATGGAAAAAACCTGATCCTGCTCTTTTCAACATGAGGCAAGAGGGTTGGGTTATAGGTTATTTACAACAACAAGGAGCTGGAAGCCTGTCCCTCTGACCTGTGTGGGATAAAGTTTTCAAGGAAAGCAATTCCCTGATGAGGAACTAGGGAACACAAAAGATATGCATCATAAGTAAGGAGTGAGGGGCAATAATTTCATTTGCTAGATACAGACCCTGGGAAAGGAGAAGAGTTTGGATGGAGATCAAATTCTTTGTTTGGAAAAAAATATCAAACCAAGTAAAGACTCTGGATAATCTTGTTTTAAAGGATTAAGTCCAAATGACACAAAAGCATGTTAATTTTCAGCATGACAGCTGTGTGACAACTTCAGACTGACAAGTGCTTAATTGGAGCTGAAAGGGGAGGGAAGATTGACATGTTCACAGTGGAAAAACATCTAATGTGGCAGCAGTTAAAAAAATCCTCAGTGGACACCATTGTATGGAGAGACAATGCATTCAGCATCCAGGCCAGTGCAGGAGGTGTTCTGGGGTTTGCTCTACCTGGTAGGAGGCTGCACTCACATGGAGAAGATTCAGAATCAAAGCACCTCTGTTAAAATTTAACCATCCACTCTGTTTGCAAATCTGGTTGCCACCTGCCATTCATCTTTTGAGACACTATGTATTTGCTCTAGTCACACCTGCTCTTATTTCAGTACAAGCTGGACACGGTTATCTTGCACCCAGAAGTTCAAATTTACTTCTTATTTTGGGCAAAATTCCATAATTCCATTCTGAGTCCTTGGAACAGAAGCCCTCCCTTTTCTGCTCACCTGATATCATGGCTTCTCATTTCAGGTCACTCTCACAGATCTCCAGAAGAGAGTGTTCCAGAATGTTCTCTTCTTTCCACTACCACCCCAGGTCCACTCTTGCTCTTGGTGGCCTACAGTTCTGCTTCTGTTGTAAAATGATCCACTCCCTGGAGGCTATCTTTGATTTTTCCTGGAATATTTCCATTCTTACAAAACTGTTCTAAAGATTGAAACTTTACAAAACTTTCAAAACCAAAAGTCTCATTCTGTTTCCTTGCCTGCTTGGTCTCTTGAAGCATTTGACACATGCTGACCATGCCCCAAGTCCTGAAAATCTTTCTTCCCTTCAGTTTCCTTCACATCCATTTCCTCTCTGTGTTCTCTTTGTTTTTAGTGCAGTTTCCAGAATTAAATCTTAGATAGATTTCCTTTCCCATAAAAATTCTTATTCTACCTAAATCTTAAAATTCTGGTTGAATGGAAAAGTGGTCTTCTTTTTGATAGGTTTAGTCTTTTTAAAACCTTGGCTCAAAAAATTTTAATCTGTGGTGCAGTCTAAGAACTTGCCTTAGTACCACCTGAGGTGTAAGTTAAATAGTCATATTCTAGGAAAGACTCAGAATTCCAGAATCAGAACTTCTGGAGACAGGTTTTAGAAATAGACATAATTTGACCAAATCCCTGGTATTTCTGTTCATGCTACAGTTTAAGAATAATAAAACAGCAATTCTTCTTATTCTTTCTATTTTTATTTATTTATTTTTTCATTGATTAAAAAAATGACAGCGGAATGCATTACAATTCTTATTATACATATATATATACCAAAATTTTTTATATCTCTGTTTGTATATAAAGTATGTTGACACCCAATTCATGTCTTTATACCTATACTTTGGATAATGATGTCTATCACATTCCACCATCTTTGCTAATCCCCTGTCCCTTCCTTTTCCCTCCCACCCCTCTGCCCTATCTAGAATTCATCTATTCCTCCCATGCTTCCCCTCCCTACCAAAATATGAGTCAGCCCCCTTATATCAGAGAAAACATTTGGCATTTGTTTTTTGGGGATTAGCTAATTTCACTTAGCATTATCTTCTCCAACACCATCAATTTACCTGCAAATGCCATGATTTTATTCTCTTATTGCTGAGTAAAATTTCCACTGTGTATATATGCCACATATTTAAAATTAATTCATCTACTGAAGGACATCTAGGTTGGCTCGCAGTTTAGCTATTGTGAATTATGCTGCCATAAACATTGATGTGGCTGTGTCCCTGTAGTATGCTGTTTTTAAGTCCTTTGAGTATAGTCCAAGGAGAGGGATAGGTGGGTCAAATGGTGGTTCCATTCCCAGTTTTCCAAGGAATCTCCATACTGCTTTCGATATTGGCTGCACCAATTTGCAGTTCTACCAGCAATGTATGAGTGTAGCTTTTCCCCCCCCCACACATCCTTGCTAATACTTATTGTTGTTTGTCTTCATAATAGCTGCCATTCTGATTGGAGTGAGATGATATCTTAGAGTAGTTTTTATTTGCATTTCTCTAATTGCTAGAGATGCTGAGCATTTTTTCATATATTTGTTGTTTGATTGTATATCCTCTTCTGAGAAGTGTCTGTTTAGGTCTTTGGCCCATTTGTTGATTGGGTTATTTGTTGTTTTGGTGCTTAGCTTTTTGAGTTCTTTATATACCATAGAGATTAGTGCTCTATCTGATGTGTGAGGGGTAAAAATTTGCTCCCAGGATGTAGACTCTCTGTTCACCTCACAGATTGTTTCTTTGCTGAGAAGAAACTTTTTAGTTTGATTCCATCCTATTTAAAGATAAGAATCATATGATCATCTCAATAGACACAGAAAAAGCATTTGACAAAATACAGCATCCCTTTATGCTCAAAACACTAGAAAAACTAGAGACAACAGGAACATATCTCAACAATGTAAAGGCTATCTACGCTAAGCCTCAGGACAACATCATTCTAACTGGAGAAAAATTGAAGGCATTCCCTCTAAAACCTGGAACAAGACAGGGATGTCCTCTTTCACCACATCTATTCAACATAATTCTTGAAACACTGGCCAGAGCAATTAGACAGATGAAAGAAATTAAAGGGATATGTATAGGAAAAGAAGAACTTAAATTAGCATATTTGCTGACGATATGATTCTATACCTAGAAGACCCAAAAAACTCCACCAGAAAACTTCTAGAACTAGTAAATGAATTCAGCAAAGTAGCAGGATATAAAATCAACATAAATCAAAGGCATTTCTGTATATCAGTGACAAATTCTCTGAGAAAGAAATGAGGAAAACTACCCCATTCACAATAACCTCAAAAAAAAAAAAAAAAAAAGATACTTGGGAATCCACTTAACGAAAAAGGTGAAAAATCTATACAATAACTACAGAACCCTAAAGAGAGAAATCAAAGAAGACCTTAGAAGATGGAAACATCTACCTTGAACTTGGATGGGCAGAACTGAGATTATCAAAATGACCATATTACCAAAAGCACTATACAGATTTAATGCAATTCCAATCAAAATCCCAATGGCATTCCTCATAGAAATAGAAAAAGCAATATGAAATTCATCTTGAAAAATAAGAGACCCAGAATAGCTAAAGCAATCCTTAGCAGGGAGAGTGAAACAGGTGGCATTGCTATACCAGATCTTAAACTATACTACAGAGCAACAGTAACAAAAACAGCATGGTATTAGCACCAAAGCAATTCTTCTTATTATTCCTTTCTTTTTATTCTCATTCTTTTCTTTCCTATTTCTCATTTCTACTTCTTAGATTTTGCTTAATTTTCAATTTTCTTAAATACCTGCAAGTGGGTTTGAGCCTTGCTCTTATTATCCATGTAAAAAATTAACTATCCCCTGGAGGGTTTCCTGAGGCTGTGGGTGTTGCCAGAGACTGTAAAGCCACAATCAGATCCTACCTTATGCGGTCATGAGGGCCCTCAGCTTCCTTCCTTTCCTTGACTGCTGGGAGAGTCTCACCTACCTGACCTGCCCTGGGCACCAGGTTCCTCTGCTGGTGGACTTGTGTCTCTGGGGTGCAGGTGAATTTAGTTGTCCATGGGTGACTGTGTAGAATATGGCTTCGTAGGCTCCTCTTCACTCTTCCCACAGAATACATATACCCTGGTGTGAACCACAGCCCCAGCCACCTGGTCACAGAGATGGGTAGCAGGTGATTCTGAAGTGTGGTCCAATTGTTTATTGGTACTGACAAACATCCAAGGCAGGAAATGGACTTTCTGATTTCCTTCCAACTCCAAAACACCATGATTGAGTTGGGCAGGCCCAAGGGATGTTTCTCAGCTGAAAGGCCTAATGGAACACTCTGAAGATCCATCCTGTAGAGCTAGAGGACTCGGCCATATGTCACTGTGCCAGTGGCGGTGACACAGCATGGTAGAAACCCTCTGGTTCCTCTCCTCCCCCTAAACTCTAGAAAGACATTTGAAAAGACTTCTTTCTCATCTCTATTTCTCAGAATAAAAGAAGCAGGTAGATTAATTGTTGTGGCTCTGGCTTCTACCGGTAGAGAGTAGGACTATCTCTGGTGGGCATACTTCAGGATTCAGGCTCTGGAAACTACTAGAACACTACACAGAATTAGGCGTTCTATGGATTACAGGTTTAGAAGTAAAGATCCTAAACCAGTTTTTAAGTGCAGAGACCCAGGTCAATATTACCTTACCAAAACACTTAAAATACTCCTACTGATTTGACCCCAAACACAGTTTCCCTGCTTACTT